CTCTGCAGTGATACTTTTATAACTATGCAATACTCATATAATACTGTACTACATTATATTTAATATAATTAATCATAAATGAAGTTTAATACACTCTGATTGCTTGACTAATGCACAAGCTTATTGCTTTTTCAGAGATGATTTTAATGAAAATATGTGGTCACTATACTTATTGTTCCAATATGCCCTTATCCTAATGACCATTCTCATTAGATTTGCACAATAGAAACTGACTAAAATGACTTTAATCAGTGTTTTAATTCAGGAGTTTGACTCTAATAAAGATTTCTTTTAGTCATTTTTTGGTTTTAATTTTTTAAACTGCATAGTAATGCTAATTTGTACACAGGAGTAAAATCTATAATGTCTGCTTGCATGTGATATGAGAGAAAAATGCATGCTCCTGTATAAATTGGTATCCAGGTAATGTAGAATACCATTCTAAATGAGAATGTGTTTAACATAGCCATTTAAAAATATGCTTTCAAGTTCATGTCACATAAAGATAACTGATTTAATCATTTATGTGTTGTTTTCTCAACTGTTTTTGAAGTGGTTTTGTTTTTGTTATTCTTCTCAATGTCTTTTGTACTTTTTTGACTAATAGATAACATGTGTGACAGAAATAATTTGTTTTCTATTGCAGATAATTTAACTGAAACTCATACAGCAATTTTAATGTACAATGGCCAAAAACATCCTTTCTGAAACCCAAACTATTCAAATATGCTCAAATAGTCTACTTTTTTTTAACAGACCACGTTTGTATCTTTTCTTCTGAATGGTTACAAATAAGAGTTATAGGTAACAGTATGAAGAAGATATTTATGAAAGCAGATTTTTATATATGGGATATTTATGGGAAAATAGCCATATTAATGAAATGTGCATAGTTATGCAGACTATAACTATAGTTGAATGAAACTTAAAAATCAAGAAAGCAGAAGCAGAATGTTTTTCTTTTTTTTTTTCTTTTAAAAAGCTTTATTTATTTTATTATTTTATTTATTTATTTATACATACAAGCACTGGGTACAGTCAGAAGCGTGGGAGGGTGAGAGAGTCCACCAGAGCCAGAGCGGGGAGCAGAGCAGGCAGAAGGACCGAAGCACACTGCTGAGGGGAGCAGCGGGTGGCAGGAGAGGTCTGCGCGCCATGCGGGACCCTCCTCTTGTGGCCAGGGAGCAGCTGGGGATCGAAACGGCGCTGCAGAGGCTGCAGGCAGCTTCGCAACCCAGCGCTCAACCGCTGCGCCACCAGGGGAGGCCCACAGAATGTTTTTCTTTATGGTTTTCTATGAGATGTAATTGGGATAATTTTTATATGTATACACATCTCTATGTGCTTTAAGGTGTCCTGTCATCTTTGAAGATGCCTGTTGGGGAAAAAAAATCTTAAAAAAAAACACTAAGCAAAGCATGTTCCTCAGTATTATTTTTAATCAGGGATCCACATTTGGTTTACCAATAACCAAACTTTAAACTCAGGGGGAAGTGTGGAAGTACAAGTGTATCTAACATAACATAGATCAATATATAGCGTCAAGCAAAGTGTGAGTGCACAAACAGGACATAATGGGGAATACTTTGGGAAAAGGCTTTCTATTTTTGTTTTTTGTAGCATGGTGGAAGGAGTAGAAGGTACTCTAGAACTGAATGCATTTTAATCAGAAGGTACCCTAGATGGAAATATTGTTAGCAATGCTTTTTTGTTTGTTTCTATGCCCCATGATTACCCTGTGGACATAGATTCAGTTGCGTTACAGATGTAAAACACTTCAGACATATGTTAGTGTCTTGAATGCCATGTTAAAGTATTGGTCTTCTTTATGTCATTAGGAGACACTGAATATGACTGGGGGTGTGAGTGTCATCATTTATATTGCACCTCTTTGTGTCAAGTGCTGTTCTAGGCATGAGGGGTATGTCTGAATCAAACAGCCAAAAATCCCTGTTCTCACAGAGCTCACATTTTTAGTGGGAAGAACACAAAATGATGATGATGATGATGATGATGATGATGATGATGATGATGATGATGATCATCATCATCATCATCATAACAATAAAAGTTATAGACTATATTAGAAAGTGATAAATCCTATTGAAAAAAGTAGATCATGGTAAATCAGGTTAGGAGTACCAGAAATGTCAGGAGGAGGTGGATATTTTTATTCAGGCAGGATAGATAGAGTCTCACTGAGCAAAATCTCAAAGTGGATGGAGTAAACCGTAAGGATAATGGAAAAGAACATTTCAGAGCGTGGCAAGAGTCAGAGTGACCGGAGCTGAGTGAATGAAAGGGGGAGTCAGGGGAGATGTGGTCAGAAGGTTATGGAGAGTATGTAGATCTATAGGGCCAGGAAGACTTGTAAGGATTTTGACTTTCACTTGGAGTGAAAATAACCACTGGGAAGTTTTCAGTTTTGGAGTGCCATGATATAACTTCAGTTTTAACAGTATCATTTTGGTGTTTTCAAAATTGGGAGGTAAAGGTGGAAGCAAGGAGATAGTTTAGGAATTTACTGCAGAAAATTAGGTAAGGGGTTATGTTGGCTTGAATAAAATCTTGCTTTAAGATAATTTGGCAATGAGGAGAGAATAGAAGTAGAGGTAATTACTAGCAGGCTATTGCCCTCTATTAGAATTTAAACTGGAATGGTTTGTGTGGGAATGAAGAGGGAACTTCAGAAAGATTACCAGGAACCCGACAACTGCTTGGCTTAGGGAATGAAGGAGAGGGAGGATTCCAAGGTGACACGGGTCTTATACTTGGATAAGTTAAATGCAGATGGTATGATTAACATAACTGTTATCCTATTTAAAAGTCTGTCTGACCCTCTGAGAAAACATTTTGCCCTCTTTGTGCTCATATAATATTTCTATTGGGTTATTAATTGTATCCCCAATTTTTCCCTCCTGGCCCCCAATCAGAAAGCTGAAAGAAGTGATCTGAATCTTAGATTTGTGTCAGTATTAAGGTGTAATTAGGAAGGTAAAAATTAAGTATTATGAAAGACTTAAGGATCTAATTTTATATATTGTTAGTGTATGGAGAATAGCCAAATAATTAGCCACTGGGAGAACATAGAATATATTGGCCCGAGTGAGTTCAGTAGGTGCCATGTAAAATGTGTTGAGGAATTACTATGGGTGCTAGAGGAATGTTTTTTTTTCTTGGGGCGGGGGGAAATGCTTGATCCTCTGTTTAATGATGATAAAAGGTAGTTATCCACCCAGAGGAGTATCTGTGATTTTGAATGTTCCAGAGGACAGGGTGGAAATATTGTTAGCAATGCTTTTTTGTTTGTTTCTATGCCCCATGATTACCTTGTGAACATAGATTCAGTTGCATTACAGATGTAAAGCACTTCTGACATATGTTAATTTAATGAGAAAACTTGGATAAATCAAAGCATATTTTCCCCCAACTTACATTCTTGCTTTGGAAATAATCGATGTTTCCTATCTTGAGTTTGTAATCCCAAAGGATGTGAAGAAAAGAGAAGCAGGAGGTGCTTGAAGGATTATATAATCTGTCTAATAATCACACAGGTGGACAGGCACATATTTGGATGGTAGCAGGGTAGTCAAAACACATTTGAGGCTTTAACATTTCTCATATTACATTACAGGAAAGCAGGGAGCTTTTTGTTGTATATAAGACAGTTTTCTGTAACCCACTAGGAAAATTAAGAGAAAATATCTGCCAGAGATAGTTCTGTGGTGAATTGATTTCTCCTAAAATGGCTTCACTTCTGATATAAATAATCCCCCTTCTTTTCTTTTTCCTGAACAGTAAATATTGGTTGGTATTTGTTTCAGTAGGATGTGATGAGGTATAGAGCAATCATGTTTAAGTGTAAATTCTTGAGAAAATTAGATTAAGTGTAGAAAAAGGTGCTATACCTATGATATTGTATTTACTCGCAGCTGATCCAGGTGAGGATGATCTTTAACAAAATTTGGTTGGTGGTATTTAAGACAATTTCATGAGATCCTGAGATCAAATAATTCTCACTGAAAAGTTATTATGTTTTTCTCTACACCAATGAGATGACCATACTTTGTGCATGCATGGCCAAATTGATGTGCAACATTCAGCTTCTGTTGTAAGAAATAATTTCAGAGCATGTGGTTGGAAGAGTTAATTTCTATTTCAAAAATGATTTTTAAAAATATGATTCTTTCTTAAATCACATCCCTTAATTGGCACTTCAACACAACTATATTAACTGCCCTTCATGCTCGTTGTATGTTCTTGTAAGGTGATGAAGTATCTGAATCATTGAATATCTAAATGTTTAGATATCACTTTGCTTTATTTTAATATTGCTCTACTACTTTAGTATTGCTGTACCTAGTTGTTCAAATAATGATGCCCATATATGTCATGTAGTAGTTATTAACCATTATATTCTGTTAACAATAATTATATTATATTCTGTTTATTTATTATTCTGTTACCAATTTTTCTGTTACCAATAATTTTTCAGCATTAGAAGTAGAAAACCCTGTGCAAAAAAGTGTTGGAGTTTTTGAAAAATGAGCATATATTAACAGAATCTATAACTTATTATATCTAGAATACCTATAAAGGTATCATTTATATCTATCAGATGTAACTCTAAGTTTTGAGACTGAGCTATTTAATTACTATTAAATGATAATTTTTCTGTTATTCACTTAAAATTATATATCTTAAAACATTATTCATTCTAAAACTTTGAAACATCTTGACAGATCTCATTGATCCAAATCTGACTTTGGGACCTTGGGACTCATCTTATAAGAAAATAGAAATCACCCTACATTCATTTTAATGCTGAGAAAGTAATTTTTTTTGGTTTGTAAAGAATATGAATGTTTATATATCTACGAACTTTCTAATTCTTTTTTACTACAGAAAAAATGAAAGATGAAAATCATTCAATTGTTGCTTGTTTGCTGTATGAAGTTCTCTTATCTGACAGGTTTTCTTTTTTCCTTTTGATTTAATAGAACATTCAAATAAAAACTTTGGCAGATGATGTGGTAAGATGGTCATCTTAGTAACATGTTACTGTAATACTTTTGCATGTTGCCTTTTTATTAAAGTACGTGGACATTAAAGCATTGTATATGTAAGATATAAAATGCCTGGATATTTATAAAACACATTATAATAGAATTTTTCAATGGAGTGACTTTCTTAATATTAAAATGAGAAATTGTGTGAGATCTCAGCAAAATTTTGAAATTTCATCATATAGATATATTTGTTTACCTTAATCAAAAATTTTTAATTCTCTTATTAATCTAACTCTGGAAGATACAGATGTTTCCTTTTTTGATGTCAACGTAAATTGACTATGAATATGTTAAATATTAATATTGGAATAAATTAATTTAAATAGAAAGAAAGGTAAGAGCATCATGTTAATAACATGGCTACTAAATTTAAAATCCTTAATTATTTGTCAGCTGAGTAAAACCTATTAAAAGGGGTTCAAAAAATGATGGGCTCAAAATTTAAATATTTTATAGATTAAACTTTAAAAAATGATATATTTTTTAATTTTTAAAATATTTTATATAATTCTTACATCATTTTTCATTTTTGCACAATGTATGCATTAAAAATGATATTTTAAGACCATACCAATTTTTTTCTTTGTGAAATTTCCTATTTACAAATGACGAAAAATATCGTTAGTGATTTAAGGGGGTGAAAATATATGTTTAGCCTCATCTTCTTATCAAGATGTATCTGAGAGTAAAAGCCAATTTTCTAGATAGTGGTAATATATGTAAATAATGCTACTCAGTAAAATATAGCAGTTTGAAATAAATATTAAATAATATATAGGGAAAGGAACAGGGGTGTGTTAATTTAATGGCTGATTGCATATATAAATGCTTCTATGTCCACTAAATTTTTTAGGGAAATTTGACTATCAGATGTGTACTCAGCTTATTTGGGATTACTTGATTTTTGTTCTTGAATTGTTCAAAGATATACTACATATCTAAACCAACTTAATTTTCCTCAAAGAGTTAAGAGAAAATTTGAAAATGTAACCCAAGATGATTGATAAATGAACCTTAAGTTAATGTGAACAGTGAGATAGGAAACAAAGACTTGTTAATTTAGTGAGCCATTTTTTCTGTGCAATGTGAAAGTTAGTTTAGATGAGTTTTCATCTTTCTCCCCAACTGTAAAATATTATAAATTATATAATTACTTTGTAAGCAACTGTGCAAAAATCAATTGTTGTAATCCTAAATAAGTTCCTTAAAGCTGCTCATATTTCCTTCAAAGTAAAACTTAATAAATAAGCATCCTATGAATCAAAATGTTCTGTTAATGAAACATCAGTGGAATTTCACATAAGTTGTAATAATTTCTATGATGCTTTCTGTGTTGTTGAAGTGATTTGTAGGGACTCAATAATATGGCAGTGAAGATATGCTGTCTTCATAGTTAACATGTCTGCATGTTTAATGTGAGCTGATAGTACGCATGTGTTTCCTCACCGAAACCGGAATAAAACTGAGTTACATTCAGTTTTATGGTTATTACTAACTTTTGAAGTCTATTCTTTTGTGGTTTAAAACAGAATGGCCTGCTTACACACAACTGGGGTCATTAACTCACTATGTGAAATAGCAAGCTAATAGTTAGAGATTGTACATGGAATCAATGGTTCAGAGTCAATATCCATAAAATAGCAGGTACTTCTTAATAGTATTTATGGGAATAAGATATTTCTGTTTATGGTATGTTTCCATATTTGTCTCACTTTTTAGAGGAGAAAAGGTAAGGTAAATAATAGTAATTGTAGCAGCAAATAGCAATGAAGAGCAACTAAGTACACTACACGTATCAACTTATTTAAATCTCACAATATTCATTTTAATTTAATTATATCCTATAATTTAGCCCCATTTTAGAGATGAGGAAATAGTCATGCAGAGGCCAAGTAATTTGTACAGTGTTACTCAGCTAGTAAATGGTAGATTCAGACTCAGGTAGTCTGGCTCCAGAATCCATGCTTTTTGACATTTTATTTTACTGCTTCATTAGCAAAGTTGTTCATAGATATTTGTCACAAATTTTGGCCATTGTGAAGAAGGTAAACATTACTATAATTTCCCTTTTAGAATTGTATATCAGAACTTTTTTTATGTTCTTTCTCATAGTTGTCACCAGAGGCACATTTTTCCTTACACAACCATACAACTTAGATGCAGAACATTTTTTCACCTACTTAACTGTGCAAAATAAAAATAGCAAGGGACAAAGTTTCACTTTTGAGGAGTTCTTATCACTCCCCATACTTCTGAGACTGAAGAGATATTTTGCAACCTACTGAGGGTTTCAAATGAGTACAATCTCTAACTGAAGCTTGCTGCTTAAAATACCGTTTTGTATTGTATTGTCAAAAGACAGTAATGATATATATTATACTAAGTGCCATTTTGATGTTTCAGTTCTTGTGTATGGTTCTTGATTTCTTTCTTAGGGTTTCTTATTTTTTTGTGTTTGCAGCGTGACCGACTTACAAGTTTTAGGAAATCTACTGTCAAAAAAGAAAAACCTCTTATTCAACATCCTATTGATTCTCAAGCTGTGATGAGTGAGTTTCCAGCAGCTCAGCCATTATATGATGAACGATCTTCGAATTTGTCAGAAAAGGAAGTACTGGATCTTTTTGAAAAAATGATGGTAAGTTAGATTCCTAATTTACTGTCATTTTTAAATGTTGTGCCCAGAATAGCAATGGGTTTTAAGTAGATGTGTTTGTATGGACTGTGTTTATAACACATAAAGGAGAGACCAGAAACTTGTTGATATAACAGTGCTATTTTCAAAAGTATCTGTTTTTTGAGCTAAACCATCCTTACCTATCTATATCTGCCACTATGCACTGCTAATAGCCTGGGCTGTTTTATTTATTTTTGTTCTCCAGTATTTACTAGTGTCTGGCACGTTGAATTGATTTTTTAATTAACCCATTTGTGTTTCTGTTTCTATAAAACAAAATAGGCCTAAGTTTACCTTTCTGAAAACAGTACAAGGTATCTTGTTGGGTATGTGAAACAGAGTTGGGAGGATAGAGGGTAAAAAAATAGAACAGAGAAATTAATCCATTCAAGTTTGTTTTAGTGACAATGATTTTTACAACCAACGTTTTGTAGAATGTTTCTTATAGTTTACAGCTTATGGTGTAGCTTATTTCTTAGATAATAAATATAATATCTTGAGTATCCAGCAGTTAAAGGTAGGAAGGAGGAGAGATGAGGCATTGGGTCATATTATATTGATTTGCTTGACCAGAGAACAACTGGGAATTCTGATTAATGATTCATTCATTTGCAATTCTATCCCACTTAGCATTATAGATTTTTTTTTTGTGTGTGGATGTCTAGTAATCTAGTATTAAGGGGCCATAAGAGTTTCAAAGGTCTCTTCACCCACACCAAAATAAAGGGTTAAAAATTGCTGAAAATCTAGACCCTTTTATGCTGCCCATTGTGGAGCCTCTGGTCCTTCCGGTGTCTGGAAGAGTTAATAGGACTTCAATAAATATTTGCTAAAAGTTGTTTAATGAATACAAATTCTCTTTACCTTTAAACTTTTCCTTGACTAATTCCTATAACTAGCCACAGCTGGCATTTGTCTTGTCCCCTGCCCAAGTCCTGGTATTCCACTTTCTTCAACACTCCCTCCTTTTCCTGCTGCTCCTTCCATGCCATCATTTTTGAACTATTTTTCAATAGCTTTTTATTTGTGAAATCTATTATCTGCTGACTTTGCCTAATGATGATACCACTTGGCTGTCCTTTTGACTTTTCCCTTTCTAATCATTTTGGTGATTTCAACTATTATTTTGATAACCCCTTCATTGTATTTTTCCCCTTAGTTTCTGATTTCCTAAACTCTGACCTCTGCATCTATATATTTAGCTAATTGTAGGAATGACCATACCTTAGTTTGTGTCATTCTTTGGAATAATTCCATATCATCTAAGATCTTTAATTCTGAAATTCTTCTCAGAGACAAAATAGCCTATACTTCTTCCCCTTCCCCCTCCCCCTAATTTTATAGAGCATGTATTTTGTAGTAGTTAAGAACTTCAACTTTGGGATCATTTAGACTTGGGTTTGACTTCTAACTATTCTAGTAATTGCATTACTTTGCAAAGGTTATATAACCCTTCTAAACTTTATTTCCCATAATTATACAAAGATATGAGGAGCTTCCTTATATAAGTTATTTTTAGGACAAAGGACATGATATTCCTCAAGGACAGTGCCTGGCCTATAAACTTTCTGTATAATTAATTTTATAAATGCTTAATGCATTCCATTCCTTTGTCAAATACATTTCTGTTCTTCCTTCAATTGTCAATATTTCCTGGTCACCTATGTTGCCCGTCCATTTACCACTTGGTTGCCTTAATCATTCCCAAATGATAAAATAATAATAAAGGGAGCAGAAACATTCCTTGATACTGTTAACACTCTTAATCTTTTGAAATTTCCTTCTCTTCAACCAAAACATCACTCAGATTATACTCACTGCTTTAAACTACTGACCAATTGGTTACTAATTTTATAGTATTGAAATAATTCTTTGCTTTCATCAGTGGCATTGCCATACTCCAGTTCAGCTAAATTTAACAGTACAGGCCATCCTTCCTTGCCCAACCCCATTGTTTCTGCTTTCATAATGACTCTTACAGTTGTCCTCTAACTGTTCTTGCCCTTGTTTGGACAATATCATTCTCTATTTGTTCTTTTTTTGTGTGTGTGGTCTACTAAAATAGCCTCCTAACTGATCATCTTCCTGTGGGCTACTGAAAAAGCCTTCTAATTGGTCTTCTTCCTACCCTATTTTAGATAGGATTTGTCTATTCTAATCCACAATTTCCCTGCAAATGATTCTAAAACATTCCTTTTCCAAAGCTCCAAGTTGGCACATATGTTTTCAGACAGTCATTTTATATGTCTCTACTCTGCCTCAAAAGAAGTCTACTTGTACCTTGAACATTGTATATTTTCTATATTATCTTTAGTTTGTAATAAATTTATAATAAACAGGTTATTTTATGAATAGTCATATCTTTCATTTGCTGTGCATGTATGGGCCAGGCATGTAACTATATAGTGTATATGAGTTATTTTAGTTGATCTTTATGACATTGCCATATAGTAGGCAACATAACTACACTCCATTTTCATAAAAAGAAATTAAAGCTTAGAGAGAATCTTAATAAATTGATTCTATAACTTGCCTACTGTAGTGAGTTCCAGAGCTGGAACTTTGTTTAGGTATATGAAGATCCCCCCCCCCCAAAAAAATGACCTTTTTTGGGTAAATTGATCTTTAGTAAAATTGCCTTAAGCTAAAAATAAAATTAATGTCTTCCTGCCATGCATACTGAGTGGAAGTAAAGGCAACTTAGGGTTCATCAGGTAGTAGGTAAAGCTAGCTTGGGGTGCATTATTCCTTAATGATGATGGAAAGTTGTCTGTAATCACTTTTTATAAAGTACTACTTGAAAAGAAAGAAGACAATAATTTATTGATGGAAAACTGTTAAAATGCCATTATCAAAGCTGAGTGGAAAAAAAAAAAAAGCTGAGTGGAAGAAGATACTTCATTTATTCTGATTCTGAAATATAGAAATAGATTTCCAGATATGAAATTTCCCTTTTTTATTTCACCTCTTATGGCTGTCTTTCATTATACAAATAATGAAATAGATGATCTTGTCCTACTTGATGACTATTATGATAATCTTAATTTTTAAAAATTTTCACCCTTTATTGTGCTATTTCTGTTGATCAGTTTTTAAATTTTATAGTACTACAAATATTTAGGTCATTTGGCTTAAACACTATAGATATGTTTTAGAATAACATACCATGGACTGTAAGACATTTCAAATATTTGCATAAAATTGTACCATGTTACAAATAGTAATAGTGTATGAGATGCTTGACAGGAAATAAATGGCCTTAAAATGGCTACTACAGTTATACAGTTTATTATTTGGAATTTCTGGGTAATGTTATATTTCAGTGAGTCTTTTGTTGAAAGATTTAAATAAGAAAAGACAATATTCAAATATAATCCCATTTTACTCTGATAATTGAAACTCCGGTTATACCTTAAGATCATATCTGTCCACAAACATTCTCACTATACAGGCTTGTAGATGTAGATAGCAGGGGATATTGGACTAAATCTGAAATTACTGCAAGACATGTTTTTTTAAAGTTATTAACTCTTTTATTAGACTACTATAACTTATTTAATTACTAATAGTTCATTTTAAAAATCACTTGACTACATCTAAGTAAAATCTTGGAATGAGTCCAGTTAACTGAAAGATTTGAATGGTTAGGCTTTACCGCACTGGCGTATTGGTAGATTATTAATGTTCATTGACTCTGACATCTAGTTTATGCATTGGTATATAGCTTTTCATTTGTAGATACTAAATGAAGCAATTATAGACAGATCTTCTAATGGTAATGGTGTCAGTGGCTATCATTGACAGATTTAAAGACCACATTTGAAACTTTAGATGACTGTTTACTTTTATGAAGCACATGCTATTTATTACTATCATGTCTTCATTAGTTTGCAAACTGAATTTTATACTTAGAATATGATCACAGCCGGACCTCCCAGGTGGCGCAGCAGTTGAGCGCCGCGCTGTGAAGCTGTCCGCAGCCTCTGCAGCGCCGGTTCGATTCCCCGTCGGCCAGGGAGAACCCCACGTGGCGCAGCATACCTCTCCTGCCTCACCCACTGCTCCCCTCAGCAGTGTATTTCGTCCGTCTGCCTGTTCTGCTCCCAGCTCTGGCTCTGGTGAATTCTCTCACCCTCACACGCTTCTGACCTGTACCCCAGTTCTTGTATAAAATAAATAAATAAATCTTTAAAAAAAAAGAATATGATCACAGCCTACTTGTTTTTATATGATTTTTATAATTAACTGCATGGTATAAATTATTCTTGCTCTTTAAGAGTCGTGTTCCAAACTAGAACAACAAAAAAGATTCCTGTTCCCCTCTCTTACTCAGAGTCATGTTTTCAAATCTTCCACAAATGGGTAAAGGTAGCAGGATGAAAACAGCAATGCAGCTTTTATTTTTTGTTGTTAACTTTAAAAGGTGACTGAACTACAAAAATGTATTATACATTATATTTAACTCAAATTTGAATGAGGTTTTAACCTTTTTCATTTTAATCAGAGATATTTTGTATTGCCTCTGAATAGGATTGGTGAAATAGCTCCTCCTTCTTACTTTAATAATAATGCTATAATTGAATAACTTCAGCATTTTAAATTTCAAAGCCTTTTAGCTTACTGAGAGTGCCTGAACTTATTTTTATACATTTTGTGTAATATTTAGAGGCTATTAAATATTTAATAATGTTAGTTTGCTTTTATCCAAACTGAATTAATTCAATCATAGCAAGTAGAGAAGTGTGTCTGGACACTTGTGTTTTCTTTTGAATATTATTGATATTTGTATGAAAATTTTCTTTAGTAAATGGAGAAGGAATTTCTATTTTAAGCTTAAATATATACATATAGACACTTCCTTTAAATTCAACTTGTAATTTAATTTTTATTAGGTTTCACAGGATCTATTGAGTATAGTCCCATCTTACTTTGATGACATTGTATTTATATAGATAAGTCAATAAGGATTGTGTTCTAACATTGGCAATTAATGTGCCAAAGATGAGACTAGTGATGATTTGTGATTGAATTTTGAACACACTTTATTTGAGCCTCATTTATTAAAGGCAATGTTTAATATATGACTACATATGCAAATGTGATGTTTTAATACGTTGTTTCTATTCAGCAATTTATATAAATATATTTTGCATATTTAGCATAATTAAATGATAGTATAGTGATATACAATAGATACTGAATTATCTATCCTGTATGCCATCTGCTAGAACTGTCATAAATAATCCCAAGGTTTCTAATTTTTGTTCTTCCACTTTTGTCTTTCCATTTAGAGAGAATATTGACTTTGGGCCCCAGAGTTATACTTTAATCCAAGCATATTTTCTCTCCCTAACAGCAATAATGGGTTTCTTTTTCACCTAACCCCAGTCTTTTAAGAGTTGGTTATCTTGGGTGAGAACCTTTTAGTGATCTCAATGTAAGTAATTTTAATTAACGGTTAAGTTACTAGCCAAAAAATTATTGGTAAAATAGGTCTTAAAGTCTATAATTAGTAGTGGAAATATTTTTTTTCAGAAATGACTAGATCTTTAGAAAATTTCTAGACAGCATGATTTCCACTGTATACATCTTTAGCAATACCCTTACTCTATTTCATTCAATTGAGAATACCAGCATCATTTCTAGAGAATATATTTCATTTTCTTACGTAGACTCTTAGGAAAAGGCATATAAAGGAGGAACAAAACTTACCCAGAGGTCTGATAGGTAATTGCTGCACGTAAGTCTCACAGAAGATTCACAACTGAGGGAATATAGTATAAGAATCTCAGGAAGAGGAATGAAAGGATCTAAGTTTGCAAATTGAAGCTGGTAAGCTTCACAGTTTGCTGCCTGTGCTCTTGGTTTATACATAAAAATATTTTCCAAAATATCTTTTTTCTGCTAGTGTTGCCATGAATGCATTTTCACAACCATTTTTGATGTGTTATGTACCATGTCATATATTACATACTGGTGGAACAAATATGAATGTAACACCTAGAGTTTAGTTAAGGAGACATGCAAGCAAAACAAATGATTTCTGCAGTATTAGGACAGCTGTAAGTAGGATACTGTGGGTATTTATCCCAGTGCAGAGCTCAGGGAGGAAACAGGAAATACCTGCAAATGCTGTGAAACCTAGCGCCATTTCTGAATTTTTGGTCTTTGTTTATTGGCATTAAAACATTCTCAAAATTTGAACAACTTAATTCATCAAGATCCAGTGCATTTCATATGCCAGGTACTATTCTAAGCTCTTGAGGAGAGATAGCAGAGATCGATGCAAAGAAAATCTTTGCTGTCAAGAAGATAATGTTCTGATAGGGTTGATACCACAGAACATAGGAGTAATTATAGAAAAGAAAATCAAAGAAAATTTCTGTGTCAAAGAGAAATTTGACAACTCTCCACTGAATGACAGCTCTTTCTTATGTTCAGGAGACATAAAGGTAAGGTGCTATCCCTGCTTCTACAATTTTATTTTGTATAGCTCATGAGGTAAAAATATTTGTGTATTTTTTAAAATTTTATTTTTATATTCCCCGTACAATTGAAACCCCCCTATTTTTTGACCCCAATCCCCACTTTCTCCGCCCCCCCCCCCAGTGTGTCTCTGGTTCATAGTTGTTTGTTGATTTTGATTTTTTCTTTCTTATGGTTATTCTTTTTCCTGGTCCCTTATTTAGGTTTTCTAGATTCCTGCTATGAGTGAGACCATCCGGTATTTGTATATTTTTAAGTGCCTAAAAAAATAAATCAAAAGAAGGCTGTTTCAGAACACATGAAAATTATATGAAATTCAGCATTTTGTTAAATGCAGACATGACCATTTGTTGATGAAATATCACTATAATATGTAAACAAATGTGCTACAACTGCTCGATTGAATAATTGATACTGAGACTGTGCCCCACAAAGCAAAGCCTAAAAACATTTACTGTCTGATCCTTATAAGAAAAAGGTTATAAACCTCTGGACTAGTGTAGTGGTCTCTAAATCTTGATTTTTTATCTTGTTGGAAGAAATGTGTTTGTGCAAAGTAACCTCACTACATGTTATCTAAAAATTATATATGTATGTATGTGTGTGTGTGTATATATATATATATATATATCTATATCTGTTCTAATACTATGCACATTATAAAATTTAGACAGTAAAATATGAGAAAAACATGAAAAGACCATTTTAAAATGACTTAATAAGTTCATTTTATTTATTAATGGTACAAACTTTTGCTATCATGATTAATAACTTTTTTTTAAGATTTATTTATTTATACAAGCACTGGGTACAGTCAGAGCGTGGGAGGGTGAGAGAATTCACCAGAGCCAGAACAGGGAACAGAACAGGCAGACTGATGAAATACACTGCTGAGGGGAGCAGCAGGTGAGGCAGGAGAGGTCTGCGCACCATGTGGGACCCTTGCCGGTGGCCGGGGATCAAACTGGTGTTGCAGAGGCTGCAGGCAGCTTCGCAGCCCAACGCTCAATTGTTGCACCACCAAGGGAGGCCCCAGGATTAATAACTTTTTAATGAGAGCAATGTTAATGTATCACTAGATTTTATATCTTGTTAAAAACATAGGAATTAGCTTTAGTTCCAAGTTCATTTTATTTTTTTAAATTATAATCTATTATTTTAATTGCGGTAACATTTGGATTTTCCCCCTCAGGTATTGCCATGGTAGGGTGCCCTCCATCTAATTACCCATAGTCCACCACCATAGTTCATTGTGCTTCCTTTCTCTTTGGTCTAATCTATTATGGTTGAAACATAAATCTGACAAAGCTATGCAGGTTCTAGTGGAAAAATAATACCATTAGAAATGCTTAATAAATCATTGTATTAACATTACTCAGTATGACCCATGAATCAAGCAAAGGTATCCTGCTGACAGGTATCCTGGATGACAGTCAGTTGTTCTGGCAACTACTTGGGAGTATTGTCTTATGTGTTTATTGTGTTTTTATTGAATAAATTCAAACTGGGCTTTAAAAAGTGGGCTTCAACAAATGTCCTCAGGGATATGAGCTCTTTCCATTTTCCTTCCATATTCATAATGTGCAGATGTGTTTGTGTACTCACATCCATTCCAGATACCACGTCTCATACCTAGAAGGAGGAGGAAGAGGTGAGAGAAACAAGGGTGAAGGGAACTGACTTGGAAACTTGGGTCTGCCCAATGGCTGACACGTCTGCCAATGTGTCTTTTCCAAGAATGAAGTTCATTTGAGTGGTTTCTTAAGTTGTCAAGGGATTACTTTTTGTGAATGAAAAATACCCAAGTCATCCTGAATTTCAGCAGTTTTACATAGTTTTGAGTTAATCACATCTGTAAGGTAAAACATATCTTCATGCTCACTTCCTTTATAATTGCAAAAGATTGTACATATTTTACTATATTTTAATACCTTGGTTTTATTTTTATATTTTGCATGCAATGTGATTTTATTTATGTATTTATTTTACTCTATGTTATTGAGATATTACTGTTGTACAGCACTAAAGAGATTCAGAGGCATAGGATCAATCCTGTTCAGATGTATGTCACCAGGAACTCTCTCCCCCAAGGCATCTAGTTTTCCACCATACTCATTGCTCATGTACTCATTACTTTCACTCTCCCCTCTCTTCTTTGGTAGCTTTATTTTACTAACACATTTCTAGAGTTTGTTACTGGTTTGGTTTTGGCTGATCCTTTGTTTCCTTTCTCTCTGGTCAACATATAAGTGAAACCATACAATATTTGTCTTTCTCCTTATGAATTATTTTGCTTAGCATAATCACCTCCAGTTCTATCTAAGTTGCCACAAATGACAAGACTCCATCTCTTTCTTTAGTTGATTAGTATTCTGTTATGCATATATACCAGATTTTCTTAATCTAATAACTTGGCTATTGTAAATAATGCTGCAGTGAACATTTCTTCAAATTAGTGTTTTTGTATTCTTTGGTTAGATACCTAGGAGTGGAGTTGCTGGATTGTATGGTGGATCTACTTTTAATGGATTTTGAGAAATCTCCACATTGTTTTCAATAAGGGCTGCATTAGTCTACATTTCCAACAATGGTGTACTAGGGTTTGATTATTTTATATATCCTTGTAAACACTTTTTCCTGGAATTTTTTATATGATCCATTCTGATGG